ATTTTCATGTTTATCGTGATTCATCTGTAAATGACGTCAGGTTTAATTTTATATAGAAAATTAAAAATAAAAATTAAATAATAATTCTTTACTAAATGCGCCATTCATTTTTTTTTAAAAAATTATATTTATTGCCATAAAATTTAATGACTAAAAAGTAATTTTTTTCTTAATATTTTTAATGTTTTTTTATGAAAAAATATTTATATATTGATTTTAATCTTTATTAAAATACGTAAATAATTTTCTTTATTTTATTGGATTTTTCCTCTTTGAAATCATAAAATGTACGCTGAGTTAGTTTGTAATATATGTATTTTTTAAATTAAGAATTAAAAAAAATGCATATTTTAATATAACTTTTTAATAAATTAATGTTTAAATATTCTTTCTAATGTATAGGCTAATATATTATTATATTAAAATATATAATCGTATAGAGGTTATCAAAAAATAAGCAATGTAAAAATTGTAAAAATTTAACGAAATAATAATAAAAAAAGTATCAGTTTGTTTTTATGCAAAAATTACTTTTTTACATAAAAGAATACAAAATTTTGAAAGCAATTTTTTCGATTTTTTGTGCGGTTATCTATTCAAAAAATGTTGTCTAATTACTATAATATATTTTTATTTTAAACTAAAAGAAAGAGGAATAATTTCCTCTCGCCTTTAACATTTCCTATAAAGTTTAGGCTACCGGCAAGATGTTTTCGCAAGCGAATTTTTTAAACTAAAATCTACGTAACTTATAATTTTTTATTATAAAATTTGAAGATAATAATAATGAATTCATGGTCAATAATAATTGTATCTTCTTTTTTATTCACAGAATTTATCCACAATCAATCACAGATATGTACATCTATAGAGGTCAAGTCACGGGACACGGTCACCGATCACAAAACACAGAAAAGACCGATTTTGTACAATGGGTTAGGAAAGGAGAAAAAGGATCTCTTATTGCATTACAATATACATGATCTCGAGATCCCAACGAATTTACCGTGAGGATGGTCAATCAGCACAAAGCATCCATTGCCACTTGGAGCAACAATGAATAAGTTATCCGAAATTGACACAGACTTCTTTCTATAAAAGCCTAACATATTAATGGAAAATTTTCTTAAAATTTCTATTGTATTGGTATCTATATATACAGCACTATTGACTACAATAACGGAACTTAAGTCTAAGAAGTTATTCAAAGACAATTCATTCATACAAGTTATGAAAGTTTTTGAAATAGTCGCAGTAGTATCGAGGAAATGACTATTCTTCCGTTATTCGCATTGACAAACTCCTTTTCTGCCCGTCGCTTCTCATATAGTACACCAAACGATCTTTCTTTTCGCTTAGATGACTTCCAGGAATAGTTTTTTCCCATTTTTTTCTTTATACCCAACTTTCTTTGCGATATTTGATGTAGGCAACAACTAGCCTCATCGATATATTACAATAATGGAACAGGAAAATCATAATTATAAATACGGATATTTAATAAAATATAAGGGTTTTAATTAATTTTTTTAAATTTATCACAAACAGATATATTGTAAAATATAAATATAAAGTAAAAAAAATTTTAAGTATTGTTTTAAATAAAAACTTTTTAAGATATTTGTTGTGATAGTTGTACTTCTTGGGAGTTATGCCATACACACACTTATATATATATATATATTTATTTACATTAAAAAAAAAAGATACTCGGTAGTATTGGCAGTGAGACGAACTAGATTTGGCAAGAAGATGCGGTGGAACAAAAGAGCTTTGCGCTGACAGACCAATCTTTGCAATGTGCATTACACAGACAGGAGATGAAGTTACCTTTCGGTTAACTACATTGACGTCATCAACTTGCTAAAAAGAAATCTACTGTTTAAAGTTCTATAATAGTCATTCAGAAATGTTCACCTGATTCGCGGTGCCCCTATATTTCGTTAGAATCTATTGTAAGGAAATAATTGAAAATAAACCTATTTCAAAAAGTTTTCTTTAAGTGTTTTTAAATACTTAAAAGTATTTAATAACAACGTATCTTGAATTTTTTGTGTGTAGTATTGGTATTAAAATCATCTTAAATTATTAAAAGTTTTGATTTTTAAATACTTTTTTAAATTATAAATTTATTTAGTTACTTCTCATTTAAATAATTTAATTTTATTAATTTATTTATAATTGAATGAAATATTTTCAACTTTTTGAAATAGGTTTACGCGTTCTAATTCTCATAACAGGGACAAAGCGACACCAGACACATTAACATAAACAATAAGCAAAAACTTAAAAGCCAAAAGAAAGGAGATTGTATATTATAGAACTGAAATTTAGCTTACTGAAATTTTTTATCTCTATGATCTATTTACGTTGACATTAAACAGTTTCTTTCGTATATTGCACTTAGGACATCTTTCAATAGCAATTCTCTAATCAGCTTAATTGATAATATTCTGGTGTGGAGGAATATTCATTTGCCAATGTAAGAAAGTTGAAATCGCTCCCACTATTAGCTCCTCCATCGTAATAACCTCCATAACCATCATTGGTGTTATAAGTAAGTTCGGAATCTGTAGTTGTGCATTGCTGAATGTTGTAATGTTCTTGATGGCCCGGACTGTTATCAAATGTTTGTATATTCGAAGAATCTTGTTGTTGACCATTTCTTGATGGATCGTTATAAGTATCATTACTTTTGTAATCAGTTGTTCTACACCCATTCAAATCATAATATACAGCTCCGCTATTGGAGGGAGAAAGCATCGATTCGTCTGTTTCATTATAATTTGTATAATTATATCCGTTATTCATATATTGTTGTTGTTGCTCATTATTCTCGTAACCATTATAGCATGCCCTGTCTGAAGAATAATCGGATATAGGATCTGGTCCTCTGTAGTCGTTCATGAAGTGTGGAGAAACAGATTGGTCAATAGTATTAGGATAACCGTACTGTCTTGACGGTACCATTGTCCTTTGTGAATTATGAACAGTATAATCGTCTTCCATAGGGTTGCGAGAGGGTGATATAGTAGGAGGACCCTGAGGAGGGCAAGAATGAGATTGTATGCATCCGTTAGATTGAATCCGGTGGTTCTGCTCGTTGCTCGGTGTAAAATACATTCCCGGTCTCGTTGGACGATAAGTACCGTTTTGAGGTGGAATGGGATTACAATAACCTTCGGCCATCGTATGGTGTGTTTGATGTTGTTGATGTTGAGGTGGAGGAGGTGTCCTGTAACAAAACGGAGGACATACATTAGGTGAAGTACCTCTTTGCGTTAATTGCGGATAGCCGTTGATGGCATTCGGTGTCATGGAATCGGTCGAATAAGGAGTTTCCGAAAAATGACGTAAATGTGGCCGATGAGAATTTACAGTGGGCGGCATGGCAGAAGGATGTGAGGGAGGTAGTTGCCAGGTGGTTGCAGAGGCTGCATTAGTAACCTGGCGGCAATATACAGGGTCTACATTGCAGGTTTTGTTCGCTAAACCTCCAGGCGGTGGAGTGCCGTAATGACACTGATTTCTTGTATTACCGTTCACAGTTGGGTTCTTTTGTCTAGCCGTGTAATGAGTATGTGACCTATATTGTGTTGTAGTGGTTTCTGGAGACTTCGCTACTTCACAAGGACTTGCACCTCTTTCACAGGGATTAGGACGAGAAACAGTTGGTGAAGGGCGATGTGTTTCTGTATCCGAAGAACTTAACAAACCACCCCCTTCCAAAGAATTCACCGAAGATCTTCCTCCGATACTGTCTTCGTTATTAACAATCCCAATTTTTTGGTCTCGAGAACCTTCTGTTCGAGGACTATCGGTTTGGATTGTTGGAGTCCTTGAACGTTCATCAGCTACGTCTTTGATTTCGGAAGACTGGTCACCCGTTCCTTCTGTCGCCGCTTCATTACTCTCATTGTCACTTTTATCTTCACCGTTTTTATTCATCATAGATTGTCGTTTATGTTTCATTCTTCTATTCTGAAACCACACCTTTACTTGGCGTTCTGTCAAATCCAAAGATGCAGCAATTTCAATGCGACGGGGACGGCACAGATATTTGTTGAAATGGAATTCTTTCTCCAGTTCCAATAACTGAGTATTAGTGTAGGCTGTACGGAGTCGACGAGGCATCCCATTATCTGGATTTTCAGCTGAAAATAAGCAGAAAAAATTTATTAATAATAATAGACTTGAATTGAATTTTTAAAATATTTCGTGAAATATTTTTTAATAGTCCTGTAATTTTTCCATAAGCAAAAATTAGAATAAAACTTCTAAAATTTCAATTTTAGAAATTGTTCCTTAATTTATAATTTAAAAAATATAATATAATTAACGTCAAATTCTTGTAAAATTTCATTAAAAGTTTGGCTTAGTTCTTTATTCAAAATTGAATAATTAGCAAACTTTATAAAACTGTTAAAGATAAACGAAGAATATTAGGAATCAATTTTCATAAAGTGAAACGAAAAATTTCACATTAAATCCAAAAGTTTTTAGAAGTTTTTACTAATATTAAAATACTAATGATAAATTTAATTTGGGCTTATCTCGGAGAAATTGTTTTTAAAAAAATTTTTATAATGCCGAATTAGTTTAATATTTTTAGAAAAAAATTTTTTTTAATTCACGATAAACTTTTAAGCACTATCAACAAGTTTTATCTCAGTAATAATTATGGCCTACGCGGCGTAAGATTATGCATTAATGTTATAGATAATTCCTCAATCGAACGTTTCAGGTTAAAACATTGTTGGATCAATAATGACATATTGAAGTTTCTTAAAGTTTAGTCTTTAAAGTCCAGAATGAAAAAGAAGCGATCCTTCACAATGTAAACCATCTGTTCGTTTTTGAGACCGCTCTGTAGCCAAATGGTAAAGGAATGAACGTGCTTGGAAACGATCATGGAAGTTGAAGAGTAAGTAACAAATGTTCTCGCTGACTGCAACAAACAAGAAGCTGTGTAAGCGAAGGATCTCTTGACTGGTCGGTTCTAACAACAATTTGTCAGTAGTCGAGTACATTAGCAGACAGTTCACGTTTAACCTAGTCTTCTTCGTATCTCTACCACCACTAAAAAAACTTTACGAATTACAAGTAAGGTAGACCATAGCAAATATGCACTGAATATTTTCCTTATGAGTGAGTTTGAATAAATCGATAAAGTAATCATTTTATGGAATTTTTTTAAAGGAAATATGCCTTTCAATTCTTTTATATTTAAGCCTCTATTATTAAAAAGAATTTTGAAATATTTACACAAAAAAACAAACTCGAAATTGGAATAGAAATTCGTACTTTAATTTGTAATTTTTCGATATAATTTTAAATGTTAAAAATTATCTAGTGTGTTAATGTTGCTAAACTTTTTACATAAACTATTCTACGTTGATGTTAAAGATAGGCCACTTCTGATACAATATACATGTTCCTAAATCATTGAAAATAATGAATTTTAATGAAAGACACATTAAAAAAATGGTAGGAAGAACATCTCAATGATTAAACGTATGCTAATATCGAGAGCGAAATGTTTATCTAGGAAGTTTAACATTTTTAATAAGAGGTTTAAGATGGTGCTCTACGAAACTGCAAAATTATACGCATAAAACTATGAATATTAATATAATTATACCGAGCGCCTTGTGGAAATAAAAATTTTCACATCAAGGGAAATATATCGCATTTGATTTACATCTAGGTATAAAGTCCTGTTTTCTATTTGGTCATGAATAAAAGGGCTATCGCTCTGGAAGCGAAGATTTCTTGCACGTATTAATATCCATCAAATTTCATATTCATGTTGAGGTGAGGAATTTCATAACCTGTAATAATTTATGTACATCTTTACTGAGAAACGCATCACCAGTTTAATCTAAAACTTTTAAACAGATAATAGGACGGTCTGTAAGTCTATATTAAAAAACATATATTTTATAACTTTATGATAAATTATTATTTAATATAATAAAATTATATTTTAATAACATTATGAAATGCATTGTTTATGTTATTATTTAAATAACTTTTGTTTTTAAATTAGAATGAATATTCCAACTCCGGTCTTGTTAAATATGAATTAATACAATAAAATATTCATCATTTGCTCGTGTAAAATATTCATACAACAAAATTATTTAATTATAATTTTTATAAAATTCAAAAAATTTTAATTTTATATCCTATTTAATTTATCAAAACGGTCCATTTGTCTGTACTACTGGTTCCAGAGATATTGAAACTCTAATTGAAATTCTCTTAAGAGCTTATTCCTTTTAATAAACTCTTGGGAACTGATGTAATGTAGTGATTCTAGGCACGTCGCCTTTATTAACCTCCAAGAAACTGAAGAGCAACAAGATGAAGTTATAGCGACTTGTAAACAGGAATCTATATGTAGTTATTCCCAAGCTGAATGATATAGAATGAATCCTAAGAGACTTGTACTTATCTAGTAAAGCTTTTTAATGGAAAAAAAAAAGTTAAATTTCATACATGTTGCACATTCGAGGAAGATATTCAAGATATTTAACTTGTGAAATGTTTAAAATATATCTACAGATATATAATTTTGATTAATTTGACTAAAAGTTGTAGGCTTTGTGAGAAATTATATCATGGAAAATGCAATCGGGTTCTTGTAACATTTAAAAATATATTTATTTGATCGAGAGGATTAAGAAAAATGCTTTAAATTTGAAAAGAAAAATAAAATTCTGCAACAAAATTATCAATGACGATTTTGTATCTTTTAATAATTAAAATTTAAATTAAGTTAATAATAAATTAATTCAAAATCGTTTCAAGAATTAAAAAAATGCAATTTTTAATAATTTTCTTCATTTTATGTATATTTTAATATTTGTATTTGCTTAGCCCCTGAGTAACAGGGTGTTTACTCGTTATGCTAATAAAGATTAATAACAGTAAATTTCTACATTTTACTTGTAAATTGATAATTAAAATCACTATTAATTTACAGCTGAAGTTGTCTATTAACTCAGTTGTATGTTGAATATTTAAGATATTTTTATAAATGTAAATTCTTTATCTACAATAGAAAGAAAATACAAAAAATCAGATTAAACAAATCAAAACTAATAAAGTATCTTTAAACAAATATATAGGCTATATTGTGGCTCGCTACTCTTCTAGACCCTTATTGTTGCTTCCGTACAGCCTTGTACTGTACAATTTATTTTTGTAAACTTGATACATACTACTTACCCATATATAATATGTTTTGTTACGTTTCCTGTTTATGTATTATGTAGTACGACATACACACGGATTGTAAGCGTAATTCGCATTAGTAATTCGAATAGGTAACTGAAAACTAAGGAAAGATGCGTTCGTATAAATCAAATTAAAAAGTTAGTATCTCAACTTCTAACCCACAAACCTTCTACCAGTAAGTAATGAAAGAAAGACATTAATATGAATTTAGATAAGAAAGAAATCAAATTTGTTCTTAGAAAGCCTACCTACCAAAATGTACGACACAATACTGCACGTTATGCTACTGTACGCATGCTTAACTTAATATAACTGATATTTACTGTAGAACAATGATAAGTATAATATTTTAATTATATATAAGCTTACATGTATATATAATATTGTTCTAATAGAGAAATGAGGCTCTCGTGTATTTCTGATAAGCGATGTATGGCTTCCACCATGACGAGGTTTGGCTATCCCTACGTAATTTAAATTGAATTCAATTTTAGTGGTTAATATTTAAATTAGTTTAAATTTATTTTTGTTAAATTAGCAATACAAAAATGCCAATAAATCATTTGCATAGAATTTTTTACTATGAGTTTAGATAAATAGGCCTATATTAAAAGTTTGAAGGAAAAATTTAATAAATAGGCCTATATAAATAATTGAATTAAATTTCTGATTTTGTTTTCTAGTTTGCTGTAGTTATTTTATATAACAATATAAAAATTATTAATACTATCATTTTAAATAGAAATCAAACATCAACATTTATACAGTGATATTTACAAATATAGGCTAGAATTTACTGTTTTATTGTATAAATGTAAATGTACTGTAGGGGTACATGTCATTATATCATTATCTAAACTACTTTAATGATATTCAGAGAATTACACAGCGCAATTTTAGGAATTTCACAAGCATTTACGATGAAATTTTGTTTATAACCAGAAAAAATGCACCGTTTTAAAAATTTGTTTTTTCAAATTAACTTTTTAAAAATTATGATATTAAAACATTATATTTAATATTTAAAAAGTCACTTTTATTGCCCCGTTTGATTTTATGGTTTTCTTTAATCTCGATGTTTTGCTTAATCTCATTATTGATTCAGACATTATATCGCCTATATAGGCTAATGATATAATATATAAATGCAATGATATAGTAATTGAATAGAGCATAATTGAGTAAGTAAGCAACATATACTAACTGAAATTTTAATATAATGGAGTAAAAATATTTATCCTATAAATTATTTAGATTTTATAATAGTAGGATATACATATACAACAAAAATAGACAACATTATATGTAAAGAATTAGCATAGTTTATTGAAATATTTATTAATAATGCTTTCGCATGATATATGAATTTGGAAAGTAATGAGATAGGCTTTTTATTGTAAAGAATTATGTTTTATACCCAGTGCATATGGCACTTTTCATACGTTTTATTTCTTATTTTCTTACAAGCAAAATTATCTAATTGTTTATTCTGATTTGATGAGATAGAGTAGTTGCTTTTCGTAGATAGCATTACATGTCGTAAATGATGTAACGATGTTAGGATACATGCTAACAAGTTTTCGTTGCTCTTCTGTCATCAGGAGACCATAATAAATAATTTTCTGAGCTCTTTTTAAAATTTTATTTTATAGAAAGAATATTTTTTATGAGGAATTGCCTAATTTTGACTGTGAGCTTTAAAAAGCAGATTTTCAAATGTATATATGGATTGCTTAGATTTTTTTAAAATGATATGTTCCTATATAAGCTACTGAAAAATATAATGAAAACAATAAATCAGATGAACTTCGGATAAGAATGTTTTCCTCTATTTTTATTTATTTATTTTTTTAAGGCGAGTTTTTTAAACATAGTTATACTTAAGAAATTTGAAGAATACAATAAAATAAAT